TTTTTTTTTTTTTTTTTTTTTTGTGATAACATGAGACGAGTTGTTTCGAGAATTATTCTAACCACTGTCTAATAAAAGACCTGCATTTTTTTATGCTATCACATAAACTTGAGCAACTATACTTGCTCAGATGTGATCCTCACCTAATTTTTTCCTTACTGCTCTGATTTGTCTCTCTGTGTCTTTTCGAGTTTGTTTATCTGTAAGATTCCAAAGGCATCAAAACTGTTTGTCTCTTCTCGGCACTCGAAAACTAATCCGCTGATCTTTAATGATTCTACCCGTTGTTCTCAGTCGTCGTTTTTCTAATTTTTCCTTAGTGAGATTAAATTTTGCTTCAGGTGTCAAAAGTTCAAAAAGTCTAATGATATCCAAATTGTTATTGTAGAAGTAGTTGATTATTCAAATGCATATTTATAACTGTTTACATTTCTTCGATGTTTGCTTGAAATAGTTTTTCTTACAGTTATTTTTTCCTGCTTATTTTTTGCAATGTTGTCTTAATGTTCTCAATTAGACATTTATATACGACATTTCCAGTAATCAAAAGAAATAATCTACTTTTAATCAATACGTTTTGATCTAAAAATTTCTTGAAATATGCTGTATTGATTTGCTTAAATATTGCTACAATCCGTTTGAAGTCCTTAGTGTTATCTTCCAGTATCATTTCAAGGATGCCTCGCTTAGAAATGCCACTTGTCGAAAAGGCTTTGAAGGGGATTTGTCTGATAGTAATTTGTCACTTCAACATAAAAGGTACTTACGACAGAGAAGAAGAAGCAGCTCTTCAAAGTTTTTTTTGATTTTCAATTCTGCAAATTATAAATATTTTTTTATAATCAAAACCTCTTCTTTTGAATGAACTAATGAGTCTTACCAGTTCAACGAGCAACAAAGGTTTTGAAACCAGTTAGGATAGACTAAGTACCAATCTGTGACCTGTTGCAAAATTTTCTTTGTTGAGCGGCGAGACTCTCTATCTTTCTTTTTGAGTTAGTAGCCTTTCCAAAGTATAGTTAACATTTTTTGGGATCTGTGGATTTTAGTTTTGGTAGTTATTTCCAAGTATAGTAAGTTTGTCAATCTTTTTGGCGCTTATGAGATGACTGGTTTGATTGCGATGGCAGTAGGTGTTGACTTTTGGGTTTTTACGTCACTGATACAAAGCGCGTTTTTGCTTTTTCACGGATCTCACAGATTTTAACTGTCTTGGTGAGTGTCGCCGATAATCTTTTACTACGGATTTTTGACTTCTTCATGTCGGAGTAGTAGTTTTTATCAAGATTATTGTATGTACCTACACATTCTGATAAGTTACATTGTCAAAGCTACTATTCTGATTAGTTTAATTCAAGCATCGAAGTGAAGTAGTGAAGAAACCCAGGAACTTTTTTAAAATTACGTTTGATTCGACTTTAAAGTTTTGAGGTAACTGTATGAATTTCTGTTGAATACTTTGAAAATGCTGCTTCAAAGAGAAGTGAAATTTTAATGCTTTTTATTATGTAACAGCAGTGTCGCGACTACGCCCGAAAGGACCCCCTTATTTTGCATCTATTCAGGTATGACCCCAAAGGGACACTTTTGGAGGCCAGCCGGATGTAGTTGCTAACGTCAGCCAGTGGTTGAAACATCGCCAGCTGGCTGAGCTTCACATTTTACGGAATTGTAAATTATTCCGGAAAAAATTGCGGCTGAGCGTAATGTCTTGTGTGGACTAAAGTTCTCAAAAATCGCCCTCTCAACTGTGTGTTAAACTTAACATTTCGTTCTTGTCAATTAGATTCGTTGTATTGTTCTGAAATAAGTCATGTATTTAGTTGAGGCTTGCTTTTATTCGTAAATTGTAGTATATTAACGTAAATAAACGGATGAAGACATAGCTCTTTAAAAACAAAAAAGGGAACAAACATACTTTGACTGTAAGTAAGGTTAGACCGTTCGCCAATAAGGTGTAGTACTAAGGAAGGGATTGCCTAAGATCTACTTATCGCTGCAGTAATCCTCATCGAGGTTGGAAAGAAGTTATAACTTAAGTAAGTAGAAACTGCTACAAGGGTCAAAAGATTACAGTAACTCAAGGAAGTACGAACTGTTTGCGCGGAGCAACGGTAAAGACAGTTCTCTGGAATCGTGTATCCTCGTGAGGTAATAAACGACTATTCACATCTTACAAGGAAACAAAGGGAAGAGATAAGGTTCCCCACAGGGACATATAGAGGGAAGCTTGTAAAAAATATTTCTTTACTTTCAAAATTCTGTTGGTAGCCGCGATAAGCAGCTCGGGACTCAATCTTTGAGGAACCTATAGAATTTTCAGCCGCAGTTAATTAAAGAGGCACTATGTTACATCATTGCATCCTCCGGTAGGGAACTTAAAAATTATCTGTGCTATTGTTTGCATACGATTTTGGCGGTTGTTGCTCGATGAGCTTAACGTGTTTGCTTTGAAAAGATATTGGTATCCTCAAAAGAATACATTTAATTTGGATTATGATTCTTTACAAACTGGTGTAAAATGCGTCATTAGACAGAGGTCGAAATGAGAGTAATGAAGGAGGATAACGGTCTGAAATTGCAGAATGAAAAGTTGTTTTCGAGTTGTTTCTGTTGTTTGTGCTGCGTAATGTGGTGTTGCGACTTTGATCACAGTATTTCAAAAATCTATGATTCCTTCTAAAAACTGGAAAGCGCATCTTACAGTTTTTCAAGAAATTCAGAGGGTAAGCGTACCTAAATAAACAAAAATTCAAGAAGAATGGAAACTTGAATTAGAGAAAAAATGTTGACGCATTTTACCATTTTTATGTTTACCGCTAATTTTATATTGCCTTCACTTCGTGAAACATGTTAAAATTTTCAACCTTCAAGCCCTAACATGTTATAAGAGACCTCATCTACTAGATGCTAAAGGTAGTTCAGAAGTGAAATAAGTGCACGGTTGGTTTGTTTTACTAAGGTCAATAACTTAAGACCGAGAGCAGCAGTAAGCATTAGAAGGAGAAGTCATATAGGCTGGGATATTCGGGCCAAAGAAAGCAAAAGTTGCGTCTGAGCTTCTAGCTAAATTTTGCTTATTCGTTTGACATGCAAGTAGTCAAATCAAGTCTTCATATTTTACTATTGTTTGCAAAAAGAAAAACCACACTCATTTATGCAGTGCTTATAAACTGTTTCCTTCTAATGCGATGACTTATACCCTTCAATTTTTCAAATTAAAAAAGTAAACCTTTTTAATCTCCACGTTTTTGGTTAACGCTTTTTCCTGCAGTTTCTTTTTTTCCCGCACGAGTAATTCGTTGTGTTTTGGCTCGTATAACTGCGTTCCATTGGTAAATGATGTGTTGCTCTATCTTCATTACCGAGAAGGTTTTATTAAGTCAGAAACTGGCAACTAAAACCTAATATTTTCAATCTTCTCAACAAGGGAACTCAGGATTGACAGGAGAGACCCGCGCATCTTTGCTCATAAAATTATTATGTCTCAGAACATTATTGTGCCTGAATAGTAGCAATAAAAGCCCCATAGTTTAGCAACTTTTTATTTAAATCGGTGTCGGTATTCCTCTTATAAACTAAGCTGCCTAATTTTGGTTGTAGTTTTTTAAATTCTTTTTTCGAAAAATCAAAATAACGTTATTTGTTTCCTTAATCTATTTTTTTTAACTTTGAAGAAAATCATTTTATAAGCAGAACGTACTGGCAGCATATTAAAAATCTTTCTTCTATAAGTTCCTTCCATCAAAAATGCGCCAAATTATGCAGAAAAATAAGGAGACTATTTTGAAGGTAATAAAACAGATGTCAAAACAGTGAAAGTGTGGGCGCCAACAACTCTAAATAATCAGAATTAACGAATATACAGTTTCTGCAATAACAGAATACGCAAAAAAAAAATTACTTTTTGCTACTACCCAAAAAAAAAGTTTACTGATTAAAGCGCCAAAACTACACAGAGAGATCAAATGTTGATTTTCAAAACAAAAACGATGACTACTGAGTCTGAAATATTCGTAAATCTAAAGGTTAAACTACGGTGAACAACTACAATCATCGGTTTCTGAACTAACAAACAATACAAATTTTTACAGGTATGTCAGAAAAGATGTGAGGTCTGTACGGCCTCGGCCCGTAATTTGAAAAAAAATTTCCAGTAGGCAACTAAAAATAGAATCCCAAAATTAATTGGAAAGGTCAGGACATTGTGGACTTAGCAATGAACAAGTCAGCAAGCACAGTCTGAATGGTAAGATGTGGCACGGTTAGTGGAAATCTGGCGTAGTTGTTTGGCCACAGGAAGAAAAAATGAAAGATTTTAGACTTCCTATTGGCAAAACTTACAAGTGTAAGCGCAGATTTCTGACATTAAAGTCTTTTGCGAATAACATATACCACCATCTCTGAGAAACCAATATTCACAGCCAGACATTTTGTCCCTGCAGATTCTTGCCGTACCGTTGTTTTTCGTAATTTTATCGTTTCCTTGACGGTCATTTATAACTTCGCTAACCAACTCTTTCCTTTCCGAGACAGTTTCATTATTACTTTGTGAAGATGATTTTGGTTCTCCAGTCGATGGCATATCTTCATAATGCTCGATTGTAGTATTTTCCATAGGGGAAGTTTCTGTGACGTTCAAGCTTACAAAATCGCCAACCACAGGAATTTCAGAACTATTTTGAGACTTTATAGGTTCGCTGACGTTTGTTTCTGCAGCAGTCTCTCCAGTAAAATACAAACTCGGCCCTGACGTATGTTCCTCCAGACTTTTTTGTCTTTTCTCGGCTAAAAATTAAGAATTATTACTTCTAAGGAACTGATTGGAAGATCTAAGCCGCACAGACCAAATAACTGTTAACCTTTAAATTTTTTTAACATCACACCTAAAGCGGTAACAAAAAGTTCAAAAGTTACTCTTAAGAAAAGACACGTTTTTCTTATATTTGTGAAATTGAGATGCTCTGAAGCTAAGAAGTGTAAAACTCACCGGATAGGCTTTCTGAATGCGGAGTTTCGGCTTGCAAATTGACTTGGGCCCGGTATTGTAAAGCCGACTCAATTACTTCCTTAACTCCCTCCCAAGTTTCTATAGCCGTCGGCAGCAACTCATCTTCGTTTAGTATAAAGCCGTTTAACACTGAATCAAAGCTTCTAAACAGCTAAAGCTGCTGATATTGAATTTTTCAATTACCTTTATATTAGTCAAATTATTACTTTCAGAATGTCGTTTGAAAAAACAACATTAATTTTACAAAAGTTCAGTATTTATCATGTTCAGGTAACAATCTAGAACGCATAGTACAGTCCCAGTAAGCTAAGTTTGTTTTCTTTTAGTAAATCGTAACATGTACATAGAAAGCAACAAATGCCAGCAAAAATAGTTAGGTCGAAACTTACATTCGTATTCCGGTCGAAGTTCGATTAAATATACGTACTTAATCCCTAGTGTAGATTTTGCCCAGTCATCAGACCCCCCCGCAGCAGGCTCTAAATAAGAGTATAGGGCTGCACAAGCATATGTTGAATGTCTTAGAGATTTGTGAAGAATCAGGTCAAAAAAATCACTCAAAAAATTTTAAATAATCTTACTTAGCAAGTTAGCACCGGTACCAATTTTGTATTTTGTGCCATATACGCCTTTCAGTTTCTCGGTTGCTTTCATTGCAGTTGTCTTCTACGAAAAATTGTTATTTTTTTAAAAAATTAGTCCACAGCTGTGTAAAAAACAATAATTATAAGAAAAAAACGAACAATATCAATTATGTCCTCAGGGTAAACTTCAGTCTGATGACTAAATGGATGTATCCATAACTGTGCGTAAGTATGCAGTGTTATAAATCCGTCAAGACTGCCATTCATCTGTTCCGAAGTCAAGAAGTCTCTTACGGCTCTAAACTAAAAGCAGTCAGGAAATTTGTCTGATCCTTTAGTTTGACAGTTCTATTTTTTCCCCCAAGTTAAAGTTAGGTAGTGAGCACGTTTTATAATTAAACTGATCAACCAAAAATAAAAGGCTTGAATTGTATCCTCTAAACATGAATATTTTGAAGCACAGTTATATAAAATAAACCTGCTTTCAGGTTCACTAAAAGCATGTTCTCCGTGATAGATATTTGAACATGGAATAGGGCTCGTGCCAGTCTCTGAAAAAGTGGGGAAGGAAGTTATTTGAGAACGAATCTAACGTAAGCGATCGTAGAGATGACAAATGGATGACCGACAAACCTGCCCAATGGAAGTCAAAATTTCGATTTAAGTCGACACCTCTACAGCAGAAACGTTTACCCCAGTAAGTCTGAATACATTTAGGAGATGAACGGTTTTTCCTCCAGAGCCGAACCTAATTAGATAAAACTGCATTATGTCATTTGTGGTGTAATTCCTTATACTCACAGAATGAAAAGCATTGTGACATACAGTAAAGGCAGCGATTTTGATGTGATTACTTCAAGAATTGACTATTTTGAGTTTGCCAAATTCTCGCAGAATTAAAATTTTTTCTTGATTGAGCTTTAACAGTAAGGAAGATAGTGAAAACGTTGTAGCGTACTTGAGGATCAGATGACGATCGTGAATATTCATAGCCGTCTGGGTTGAGGCAAGGAAAGATAAAAATGTCCAATTCATCAATAAATTTAGTTATTCTCGGGTCACTGCCATATCCACCAATCAACTAAAGAAGAATTCTATTGGGACTTTAGATCTTGGTAGAAACAAAATTTCTACACAGATTGATGTGGTTTTTGAAACAATGCTTGTAACGTTTTCAGTGATTATGCACTAAAACAGTGAGCATAAATATGAACAAATTAGTAGAACAACTTGATTAATAAAATAAAGTGCCGTGTGGCCAGAAGCCCATTCTCGAGCGTGAATATTTGCATCTATCCAAAACCCACGTTTTGCCGTTCCGTTCGATGGTTTACCAATCCGAAAAAATAGTTATTTTTGCCAAAAAAAATCAGACTGGTCAATTTACGGAACTCAAAATATAATATTTGTAAAGAGCAAATTTCCCCTGATACTGAATGAAAAGATAGTGATTGCTTTGTTAGTTTTAATATGTCTCTTTTTAAAAATAAGTTTTATTTTCACAACTTAAAAAATGATACTCGACTTTTGTTTTCTTACGTTCAACTTAACAAAAGACGGCTTACATTTCATGTTCCTGCGGAAGCGATAAATTTATGCCATCAACAACCCACCAAACGTCAATGAATCCCAAAAATTTTGAAGCATTTTTAGTCAAATGCGGGAAACCCAAACCTTAATTCCTTCTATAGGCAAATCGTCATTTGTTGTGCCAATGCGTATCAGCTTTGCAATTTCCGGGTAATAAAACTCAATCGTCCGCAAGTATTTCATCATTTCCATATAAGACTTATAGTCTCCAAATGGATACTTGGCCTTTATATCGTACACACCGCGGCTTTCTGTAAGCTCATTTATATCTATTTTTAAACAAAATTTGCACATTTTTAATTGCTATTTGGGTTTTGTGGAATACGAAAGAAAAAACAACTTGTGTATGTGTTTTTCTTCTCATCTGACTTTTATAGTTCTTGAAGGCACCTTGACAAGGAGCAAGAAAAGAAGGACTTTTAAAGTCTAGGAAACTTTACTTAGAAGACTTTATACTTGTAAACGCCTTAATTACTCATGATCGAATTAAGATTGCTGAAGCTTTATTTTTCATTCAGCAAAATGTTAACTTTTTCAACTGTAAGTCACAAACATCGTTTACCTTTAGCTTAAAAATGTCCAGATACTTGATTCATTTTTACGAGACTTTACTGAGTTAATTTATAAAGAAGGTAATTGGGTAGAATTGTTAGCAAAAAGCATTTGACCATTAAGTTTGGCTCACTGTTTTCTTTGGTGGTGACATCGAGCAGTGGATCATCCTTCATCCGTATACCCATAGATAAGGCCGCATTTTTGCTTTGGCTTTTCGGCTTTTCGTTTCTCTCAATTAGTCTAAAATCTCCTTTGGCAATACTTCTTTGCATCCAGCAGTGATTTTTAAAATTAGCCTTGTGCAACTGACTCCAGGCTGTTTTGGTAGGAAACTGATTACCAAGCAGAAAAAAAATATGATGACCAATTCAAAAAGCCTCGATTAAAAATTTCAAAGTATAATACAGAAAATTTGGCCATAGACTACCGTGGTTCCTTACAAAAAACATTGACGGCATAAGCTGT